TGAGTTACACAGAGCTTATATAGGAATCAGATCACAAGTATCTAAGAAGTAACCAAGGAATCACTAAGAATACATTACTAACAGAAAGTAACTAAGGACGCAGCACGTAACTGCATCACATCACCATCACCCGATACTCACATGATAGTTACAGATACATAATGTTTACAGTCTCTAGGATACAATTTGTATTGCCCATGATCACTCTTAACAACTACTAAAATTTATGATTTTAATATAAAAACCAAGTAAACAGTGGTAAGAAACTCCGGTGCCTTTAAACTGAAACAATACTCTTTAGTTATGTTTCCAAGGTAGTCAATTAATCAAGAAGGCATAGACTGTCAACTCAACCTCTGAAGCAAAGAGCAGAGAAGCTCTTAAATTAGCAGTCTTCTTTTCTTCTATGCTCAAGTCAAGCATGGCTCCTGACAAAAACCTAAAGAAAAACTATGATACTTGGAACTTTTACTTCTCCTCAGGGAAAAGTGAATGGAACAAGAGCAGCTGGTACCCAAAGGCAGTAGAGACACAGAAGGCTAAAGTCACCTCCATTAAATAATAAATAACTCACACACTGACAATACAACCCACCACACTAGACTCTGGAAGAGCCTGGGAGAGCTTTCCTTTTAAAAAGAGATATCTGGCTGGGCGTGATGGTGCACAGGCAGATCTCTTTGAGTTCAAGGCCAGCCTGGTCTACATAGTTCCAGGACAGCCCGGGCTACAGGGAGACCCTGTCTCAGAAACACAAAAAAAAAGAAAAGAAAAGAAAGAGACATCTAGGAGGACATGGTGGCTTACACTTGTAATATTTGTAATATTAGTATTCAGAAGGCTGAGGCAGGAGGACTGCCATGAGTCTGATTATAGCTTAGGCTATAGAGGAATACCTTGTTTTGAAAAAGACAAAGTCTTCTACAATGCTTAAATTTCAGGCAACATCCAAACCCCTCACTGGACTCAGAGCCACAGTCCTCCAGGTTTCCCCACACCTCTCTTCCATCCAGGGCCAATGCCAGGCATATCTCTACTTGGGCTAGTATATTTTCTACAGTCTGGAAACATACAGTCCTTGTAGTGCCTGCTGGCCTCCTTGGCCCCTCCAAGTTCCCCTTCAGCCCCAGCTCAAGCTCCAGTCCCTCTTCCAACCCTTCCTCCATTTTCTCTGTCTCCATTCTCTTACTGTTGCTGACAGAAAGACGGTCACTCACCAAGAAACTAAAGAGGCACAGGTGGAGAGACAGGACAGGAAAGGACAAGACAGATCAGAGCACACAGGCGAAGAGATTCAGCAGGCAGCCACCCATTTCCGACATCTCTGTTTCCTAAAAGAAGTCTGGCATAAAATGATTAGAGCAGGCCTTAATGGATGTCACATGGATGGCAATTAGAGCCACAAGGCTTGGATGTGAGAATTTCAGAAGGTATATGGCACACAGTGAGCAGAAAGCCTACTTCTGTACCTGTCACTCAACAGATCAGTCTCCTAAGTGTCCTACTCCCCATATAAAGCAGCAAGCTAGATGGACACACTCTGCCTGCCCGCACCCCAGCTTACCCAGTCAAGTACACAGTCAGGCACCTCAACCCTTTCCAAACTCCTCCTGTCCTGTTTGCAGACAGCAAACACCCTGTGCTCCATTTTGCAAATGAAGGCACTAATGCTGAGCCTAAGGGAAGAAGTTGAGGATCTTTGAGAAGTTGGGTGTTATAACCAAATTGCCAAGAAAAATACAAAGGAATGACCAAACTCAACTTGATATAAGAAAAGACATGAGAGACACAAGCCACTTAGTAAAGAGCAGCTCTCACCTCTCACCGTGTTCGGCTTGAACAAGGTGCTCACTTCTTCCCTACAGATCCACGTGTGAACAAGAAAGGTTACTGGATTCCAGAGTTCCCCATGACCAGAAATCTCCAGGGAAAGCCTGGTTAGCTCATAGGAGAAACCACCCCAGACAAGAAATCAGAGCCAGGGGCCTGATGTCTGTCACCTCCTGCCCTGTGACTTCTTCCTGGAACCTGGCACAAGGGCCCTAGAACTCAACTTCAAAAAGCTCCTAAGATACCATTCCCATGACACTGGGGTTGCCACAAATCAGTGAGATGTGAAACTAACACACAGCATGGTGAACAGCAGGGCATCATCAGTCCTAGGACAGGAGCCCCTGTTCCTCACAACCCAACCCTGTGTTTCTCAAATACTCTAGACCTGAACATTGGGGATTATAAATGTCCAGGACCCAACTGAGCCCCTCAGGTTGGCCTGGTTGATACACATGCCCAGGAAATATGAGGCAAGCATCCTTCCCACAGTCTTCCAGTTCCAGGCCCCAAATCATGGGCTGCCAGTTACCTTTTACCTGCAGCACCTCCATCTCCACTGGAGAGGGTATTCTGAAACAGAGACCCACACAAGCTGTCCACAAGAATGTCCTTTGTGGGCAATGGAGCCCCACGCAAAGTAGGAAGGCGGTAACAAAGGAGCCTCCAATTGCCACCCTGGGTCCTGAGAAAGCCAGCTGCTTCCTCTCTTGGGCTCTACAAGGCTTCATAGTGAAGCTGACCAACTAGCAGAGAGGGGAACCTGAACCCACAGTAGAAACCGCTAAGGATGTGGAAGAAGGCAGGATGCAGCACCAGCTCTCCTCACTGTATCCCTTGGAGATAACCCACTGCCCATTCCATCCAAGCAGCTTGGTGATGCATTGAGCTATGCCCCATGGTAAGGGATCCTTGGTAATATATGTGCATATATATATATATATATTGAGCTGGGGGATACCTCAGTGGTGGGACACTTGCCTATTATTCACCAGAGCCTGGATCTGACCCCCAGCAATGCCCTTCCCATCCCCCTAAAAAAGTTAGTAGACCACTACAAAGACATTCATACACACACACACACACACACACACACACAAACAATTTAGTTACACTTCCTCTCCCCAAAAGGTTCCAGATAATGTCTTTCTATATCAAACATTACCTTAATTTCTTTTAATGTATTAAATAAAATGAACTTAACTTCCTTAAAATAGTTTTCTAATGATTTCATGACCTTCTTTGAAGCTCTGAAATGTGGGAAAACGGATCTAAAATCACAGTCCTGGGGATGAATCTGAACCATATGCTGTTCCCCCCTCCCCAGGTCAGAAGTTCCTTAAAGGTCAGCCCAGAGGCCACACCTTCCTCACCCACCATGCACCAAAAGGGATGATACTTAATTAATGGCAACTCATCTACTAGCTTATCCAATCCAGAGATTAAAGCCAGGGCTGATGCACACATAGCTCCCCATAAAGACATCTCGGCTCCCCTGTAACATCTATGCATCATCAGAAGAACTTCTGAAAACAGATCTTTGATAAACTCCTCCAAAAATAAATAGATAGATGCAATTATAAAGGAAAAATGACTCTGATGAAACTTCATCCATCCTTATCCTCAGAGCTGCATCTGACAGCCCCTTGACTAGACACTCCAATCAACTACATTTGTGGGGATGGAATGCAGGTTTGAGGGACAGAGTGCAAAAGCCAGAAGCCCACAAGAAGACAACAGGGCCACCCGTCATACGATCTGTTAAGTGGCAGTTTAGGCCCTCTGTATGTCAGTTTCCTCCAGCTAGATAAAGTGAGGTTGTAGATGACAGCAGCTACCAGAACATCTTATAAAATCACTCCCTTAATACCTGAGGCTTTTAGCAGACACATAAACGGGTCTCCTCAGCCTCTGGCCCACAAGTTGCTAAGGGTGGGTTTTCAGCTCTCTGGGTTCACCTTCCTTTTACTTACCCACGTGTCTTTATTGTTTTTGTGGTGTGTATTGATTCACTTAGAACAAGGACAAGACCTGGACAAGACACACTTGTTGTTTCCTGGATCGTATTCAATAAAACAATAGTAATTCAAAACTCCTGGCACTCACTCCTTTCTGAGCTTTTTAACCCCTCCAAGCCACAGTTTTCTCTCTGGCAAAGCGGGAATAATAGACAATTCACATGCTGTTAATGGCGATTAAAGATCACAAGGTAGATAGAGTTCCTGCCACAAAAGGCACAATAAATGCTAGACGTCCTCCTTCCTCAGTCCTATGCCTCTTCCTCCTCTAAGAGGTTGGCTTCCACACTCCCCAACTCTGCCAGGGCAAGCCTACCACCAGTGCCAGTCACCAACTCCCAGCGGTACCCTTCCCCCTCCACACACTTACAAAGCAGTCACTTCCAAGAGCAAGAACACACTGGTTTGAAAGAGCACCACTCACAGGAACCAGCCACCAGCATTCCTTCACCCGGACCTCGGTGCTCTCAGTGAGGGAACTGAGCCCCAGTAACCACTGCTAGGATTTTCCCATGCTGCAACGCAACTTCCTCAACTTTTCCTGGCACACAATTTCCGAAGAAACCTGGAGAAGGCACTGTGCCTAATCTACAGCAAGTCTGGTCGAGCTAAGAGACTGAGCTCTCGGGGCAGAGAGAAGGGAACTGACACAGTCACAAAGGGAAAAGGCAGGAGTGGTCCAGAAACCCAGTGGCAGGGACCAAAACATAGGAGGTTCTGCTCTTGGCCTAGGTCCCCCTCTTGCTGATTGCACCTGCTGGCTGAAAGCTAGCACTGGCTCCGTAAGAAAGAGCAGTGAAGAGCCTTAGGAAGGGGGCTGACTAACATCCCTAGGAGGTGTCCCCCAACCTCCACCCCACTCCAGACCTAGTGGCCTCCGGGGGACCCTGCGACCAATGGCACCCCGGAAAGGGGAGGCAAGGTATTGGGGAGGGGCGGTCATTGTTCCCCGCTACAAGCGAGGCAGGAGCTGTGGATTCGGGGTCCAGGAATCGCCCCCTCCCCGGATGGGCTAAGGAGGGAAGGGCCAGCCGCAGCCATCTCCAGGTAGAGCAATGGCCCCGGCGGGGTTCCCGCCCCCCCCACCTCAGTGACCTGTGGAGAGGAGGGGTGCTGGCCGGCTGGAGAGGCCGCATGGCGGTCTGCACTCACCTCGCCCTTGGCGGGCAAGTAGCGGCCTGACGCCTTTCAGGTAGGGAATGGGCAGCAGGTGAGGCTGCGTCTTCTCCAGCGCTGTGCCACCCAAGTCCTGGAAGTGGTCCGGCTCCTTAGCCAGGAGCAGCTTCAGCAGCAGCAGCTCCGCCTTGGCGCCTCCCGCCTCCTTGTCCAGCTGCCTCCGCTCGCCTGGACGTCACACTCCCGCGGCCTCCAGCAGCCCGAACACCGCCTCCACCTCGGTCACCGCCTGGGCCAGGCTCTTTTGACACTGGGCGAGTAGCTTCCGGCGCTGCAGCTCCATGCTGGCGGGCCGCCTGTCCCCACCGGACGGCGCCCGGGCTCCCCCAGGCTACTGGGCAGAGTCGGGCGGCAGCCAAGGCGGCGGGGCCCACGGTCCGGGACCAGCGCCAGGGGCCGGGGCCCGCGGGGCAGCGCTCAGCTGCCGCCTCCTGGCCTGCGGGGCACAGACTGTTGGCAGCGGAGTTACTCGGACGGAAGTCAAGTGCAGGATAGATCAGTGCGGTTGGAAGCTTTCAGCAGAGCGTCCCAGGAGACTAGGCCGTGCAGTCCGGTGGGTCCAGGGCAAACACTACTCCTCCACCAGGGGCGGTTGTGTGTCTCTGATGTTTACAGGGAATGAGATTTAGGAAGTCCGTGGGTTTAACAGATCCGGTATTGCGCATGCGCGAGCCATGGAGGGCGTGCCTGTGTCAACAAGAGTTGCCTAGCAACAGCCAGATCTAGCAACAGCCAGATCCCTGGCACTTGACAGTTCCGCTTGGTTGGCTTCCTTTCAAAACCACTTCCTCCTGCTCCTTTGGAGGGTGTTCCACCTTCCAGGGGGTCTTTTCAACGGGACCCGGGAGGCCCGTGTCCTCCACCATGAAGAGGATCTTGGGCTTCCGGACTCAAAGTCTGCTATCCTTCCGGGGCCCTGGGCATCAGTCGGAGAGTGTTCAGAGCACCACTCTGCCCAGAAGGCCCAAAGACTACACAGCCTTCAGAAAGATCCACAAGGCTGCAAGCCAGGGTGACGCTGCCGAGGTGCAGCGCAGACTCATCCTAGGCAAAGATGGCAAGAATGACAGAGACAGGAAGGACCAGGTACCTGGGGCTGGGAGTAAGGGACAAGGGGCAGGGGGCGGGGGCACCGGAGAGGCACAGCGTTGAGGATGGTGTCAGTTTTCTGGAATATTCAAGAACAAGGGCCAGAGAAGAAGAGCTGGAAGGACTAGAGTGGAGGGCCTAGGGATGGGGCGGGCCCAGCATTTTTGAGTACAGGTTCTCTGTATCCTCAGCCAGCCTAGAGCCCACTGTTTCTCCAGGTTATGCCTTCTGCTTCCTGGGATCCCTGACCTGTGAGACTCTCCTGGTTCCCACTGTCTTGACAGTGTCCCCTGCCTTGGGCACTCCATTTTAGTTTAAGATTTGGGACACAAAATGTGGAAACTACAAGACCACAAGTGTCAGGTGGACTCTTTATGGACACTTCTGGGCTTGCTCATAAGGCAATTTATCCTGGTGCTTGGGAACACAATCTCTAATATCTCTCTGCCTGAGAATGCTCCTACTGGTCTTTTCCCAGATACTTCAAGTTTACACAGCCTTATGTCACATCCGTAATGGCACTTTGCTTTGTGTTGTGAAAATGGTGTACAGGTTTTGCTTCAGAAATTGGCATGAATGGCAGAGCTAACTGAATGTCTTTTTTCCAGGGTAAGATGTGTAGGTCAGCATGTGGTGAGTCCAAACTGCTCCACTTCACTCTTGACACTGGACATTGTTTCATCTAGTTATTAATATGCAGCAATAGCCACACTATCTTCATCTTTTTTGGTGTTTATGAACTTATATAATTTCATTTCAATTGTTAAATCTTTGTCAGTGGGGCGAGTCATTTAGTGACAGTCCAACTTTGAATCTTTTTCTTTTTAGCCATCAGCTAGTCAGCTAAGTCTGTACCTTTAATAGGAGACGTTAGGATAATTTCCAGTTATACTTATTATTGAGGGGGCTTGCTAAATCTTGCCATTTTGGGGGGGATTTTATATATATACTTGGTTTATTATGTGTTTTATTTCTTCTCTATTCATATCAGCAGATTTTTGGTTTATTGCACAGTACATGACTTTCATTCGCTGTTATTTTTGTTCATCTCTTCATGTTCAGAACAGCCACATCTATGCACTTGTCGTTAAAATACTCTGCTTTTCTTGTGTCTGTTCTCATTTTCTTCATGTATTTTCTGTATTGGTGGCTTGGAGCCTTGGGCTTGCTTAGTGTTTGTCTGGCATTTTCCTTACTGTTTCACCTACTGTAAAACATTAGTTGTTTTCCTTGTCGCTGCAATCTTGATTGGCAGGTATTTATATTCAGGCCTTGAAATATATCATGTTTTCCTGAATACTACCATTTTTGCTGAGGGATTTGATGTCACTATGATAGGCTTGCTTCTGCAAGAGAAATAAAATATTTGACTCATGGCTATTAGCATTTTGTGCTTTGGCATTTCTACTTTCTTGACTGTAATGTTTTGTAGAGATGTTTTCCCTGATTATATCTCTACATCATCTGTAGTCCTTCACAAAACCGTGCTCACTGTTAGAGCGAAATAAGAAGGAATTGCAATAAGGAAACTGAAGAAAATCAAGGGAGAAAATCAAGACTCTAGTTTAAATAAAAGCAGCAAAAAAGCAGAAGACAGGATCAGAATTGTAGCAAGAAGTAAACAAATATCAAAGTTAAAAACAACAGCACAATAAAGAAATAAACAATAAGCAAAGTTATATAGATGTAATAAGAATAAAAAGAACACCGTAGATGCTTTTAAATATAGGTGGTACAGTATGAAAAAAGGAAACAGAAGGGCGAAGAGATGCCTAAGGATAAGATGATGGAGAACTTCCTTCTGAGTTCTGTCATAATGGGATGTGCCTAGTGGAAGCAGTGGGAAGTCACAGTAGTGGACACTTCTGCTTCACACAGGTCAAAGTGGTGGAGAGTCATGTGGTCCAAGGGTCAGTTCATTAGTGATTGGATCACTTACAGACGTCCTGTCTTCCCCTGAGCAGCCACTAAGTAGCACTGTTATTTTTCAGCCATTGGGCTTGGCATCTTGTTGTTCCCTCCAGACACTCTTCAAATTTGTGTACCCTGTAGTGCCTAATTTCTAACACAAGGAGATATTGCCTGGCTGTGTTGAGCTACATTGAAGGCAGCTAGAACACACAGATGTGCCACTGAAGTACCTGTCTCAGTGCTTTGCAGTCTTGCTCAGTATTAAACACCCTGCAGGAAAGCAGAGGATATTGGGAATGTCTACTAGATACACTTAGAATTCTCAGTGCTGCGAGTAGAAAACCACACAGCTGAGTGGGAGTTGAATTGTGGGTCAACTCCTGACTCTGGCTCATGTTTATTAGATTTGGCAGGCCTTCCACTCCTCCCTGAAAGGGACAGGACCACCAACATTAGAGCTGTTCACAACTCAAGCCTCTTGACACCTGAGTTTCTCAGTGTTTCAGCATCCGATCCTCTTCTTTTTCATGAGGACCTAGTGCCACTGTTCCTCCACATGCACTGTATCAAGTTGTTCCCAACCAACTTGACTTGCTATTTCCCCCTCTTTTGGGCACCCACACCTCTTCGTTCTGAAGGAGTAGGGACTCTGTTGAGATGGAGCCTGAGTATACCCACGGGAGATGTGGGAGGAGTCCAGTCAGATTCCTTCAATGCAATGGATCAGAGGAGCTGATTAATAGTGTCCTTTTGTCTAATTAGTGAAAATTAATTTCAAGGCAATAATGTTTACCATCATGAATAATTGTATATTTATTGTATAGCCCTTTATAAATTCTGAGAAAGTCCTCTCACTTTTCACAGAGCTATTTTGCATTATGCTTGTGCACATGGCCATCCTGATGCCGTGACAACTCCTAATAGATCGTAAGTGTGACATTGATCTCTGTGACAGTGACAGCAGCACACCACTGATCAAGGTAAATAGTAGCCAACAATTTCAGCACAAGATGGATTTGATGCAAATGCTGAGAATAAATCTGATTTTAGTGTATTCCCTGTATTTCTAAAGTTCTCAATCCATGTCTTGATATAATACCTACAGTCATCACAATATGGGCATGAAGAATACATGGCCATTTTATTAGAACGTGGTGCTGTTCCAAATGCCATGGAGAACCAAGAAAATACAGCTCTGCACTATGCTCTTTGCAGTGAAAACATCTCAATGGCATTCAAACTACTGGCGCACCAAGCCAGCATCAATATAAAGAACAAGGTAGGAATCACACAACTTTGGTTCCAAAATATTTGAACGCGATTGACTGTACAGTGACATATGTGGTTCCTTTTTACATATGCAGAATCTGGAACTCCCTGTGAGTGAAAACATTATTGAAGATTTCCCTTTAAATATTGATTTGTATTTACTTTTATTTATTATTATTGTGCTTGTATATGGTATGGGGGAAAGCATGCTACAGTGCTAGTGTCGAGGTCAGAGGACAGCATTGTGGAGTTATTTCTGTCTTCCTACCTTTACCTGGGTTTCAGTATTGACCTCTGGTGGTCAGACTTGCATGGCAAGTATTTAGCCCCTGAGTTAGTCATATCAGTGACCCCTAGATATTGTTACATTTGAGGAAACAAATAGACATTGCTTTCTTCTATTAATTTGTGACAAATATTAGAGACAACATCGAATTTGTGAAAGGTGAAACAAATTTTTTTTACTAATTTTTAAATTACTGTCAAAAATATAGGAAAGTAAAAATTGACTCAAAGATTGGCTAAATCTTGAAATCCAAAGAAAACAAACACATTTTATATAAACAGAAAAGTTGTCACTCTTGAAAATTTATATCAAAATGATTTAAATCCCAGAGAAGGGGCTGAAGCAGAAAAAATGGAAAAAGGGACATGGTTGTGAACATGCAGAACATCGTGGAAATCAGAGACAGGAAGCAAACCAACATGAACAGCTTATCTTTCCTACTTCTGTGTATCAGCGTGCTAATTTTCAGTTGGGGGTTAATCTTATAAATATTTGTTCATTTTTATTTTATGTCTATGAATAATTTTATTGCAGGTAAATATATACACCACTTGTATTCCTGGTAACCCCAAAGACCAGAAGAGTTCTTGAATCCCCTAGAACTGGAAGTACAGATGGGCTTGAGCCACCATGTGGGTTACCTAGGTCCTATGCAAGAAAGGCCAGTGCTCTTAACTGCTGAGCATTCTCTCCAGCATCAGGTAGTAGCTCTCAGTTTGAGAAACATATGTAGAGATCAATTTTGCATGCATTCCAAAGAGACCAGGTTGAAGATCACTAGATGGTGTTTATAATGAAAACCACAGGAAAGTGTTGGAGAGATGAATAAACAGGTGAAGTGCTTGGGGCTGAAGAGATGGCTCAGTGTTTGAGAGCCATTGACTGCTCTTCCAGTACACACATGGTGACTGACAGCCTTCTGGAACTCCAGTTCCATGGGATCTGTCCTCCTTTTCTGACTTCAGTAGTCACTGCATGATGTGTGTGCACTTACATGCAAGAAGGTAAAACACTCATACACATAAAAGTATATTCATCAAAAAATAAAAGAGGGTAAAAGAGATTGATGTGCAAATCTGACGACATGATGTAGATCCCTAGACATAAAAGCCAGATATGGTGGCATGTATCTGTAACTCCTGTAGTCCTACAAAATGTTGGGAAGCAGAGAAAGAAGAACTGGCTGGAAGTTTGGGATGCAGGTAGCTTGTATTACATTCCTCCACAGTGGCAGAAACAGAAAGAGAGACCCTGCTTCAGCAAGGGAGAAAGTGAGCAGTGACTTCTCAAATTTGTCCTCTGACTAGCACATGTACACTGTGGCAGGTACACTCACACACACTCATACACACTTGCAAAAAAGAGTACATATTAAATAATGCACTGACATATTGTTCCTTTGTGGTATACACAACCACTTAGGGAAGACTTTAATTTTTTTCTCTCGTGTCTACACTGTCTTTCTGAGAGGTAGAAGATATTTTACCTTTTCTGTGATTAATCAAGTTTCACATTTAATTCCTTGCATCCCATTCTGCTCCACTCAATGAACTTAAATGGACTGTCTGTCTCCTCAAAATGTGCATACAATGAAGAGAGTTATCCATGTGAATGAGAACTAGCTCTAATGCCATGCTTTTGGTGTCTGCAGTGTTTATCTTGAAATTGTTCCGCATAATCACCTTGGGAGAGCTTTGCAAATGTACACAGTTTGATTCAGCAATTCTGAAAATGCATGGGCTTTAGTGCCATGCCCAGTTTTGTAACATTTCTCAAAGAGATGAATGTAGAATATTTGTGCTAGGCATGGTACATCTGGGTCCAGTGGGAATATAGATGAATGAATCTTGCTCTAGAGATGCAATTTAATTCATCACTCAAGGAAAATATTGAAAACTTTACTACTATGTTTGAATATTTGGGACAAATAGAGAAAAAAGATACTTGGTTTAGATGGAGCAGTCACATGACATCAAAATCCCATGGTAAATATTTGGATAAAAGCAGAGTTTGTGGAAACATTTCATGCCTGAAGTGCATGTTTATGAGGGCTGTGGGTCATGGGCAGCGCTAGAGAAGGTAGAGTCTTTTCACATGCAAAGAGCTCCATGTGTGAAAGCACTGGGGTGAGAAGGAAGAGGCTGCAGTTCTGATAATCTACAGTGTGTGCTGACATCCTATGAGGCTTTGATCAGATCCTCATCTCTTTGAAAAGATGGCATTCTGAGTGAAAATTTGGTTTTTCCCACAGAAGGGCTGTTCTCCACATACTCTGGCTCTAATCAAAGGCAACCAGGAGATGATACAATGTTTATTCAGCAAAGGAGCAAGCATATGTGCAGTTGAACAACCAGACAGGTATTGTGGTAAATTATTCTGTTTTTAAATGATAGTGGTATTCAAGAATAGTTTCAACTGTTCAAGTGACATTCATCACATTGGTTGGAGGAAGAAATGGGCATACTTATTAGCATCATGAGAACATGAACATATACTATCAATTAGATATAAAAATAGTTATCCAGGCTGGAGAGGTAGTTCAGCCTGTGGCAGAGGACCCAGATTCAATTCCCAGCACCCATGTGGCTGCTAATAACCTGTAACAACAGTTCCAGGGGATCCAATGCCCTCTTCTGACCTCTGTGGGCATTACATGACATGGGTACATGCAGGGACATGGCGTCCTGACCTCCGCCTCCCCCTTGTAAGAGCTTGGGTATCTGTGGTGTTTGCTGGATTTGTTTATCACAAGGACTTTCTCCTGATTCTGAGAAAAGGTACACCTGACCCAAAAACTAGGCTTACAGTCAGGTGATCCCAATTATCATGTGTCCTGACTCCACCTCCTATACTGAAGAGTATAAAAACCCTTGTCTCAAACAATAAAGAGTCAGTCAAAGTCCTTCCTCCCACTCTCTGATGGTGTGATAGTTTGTTCAATCCTGACACCCTCTGCCCAGAATACTCGGAGCTTGATGTGCTGGCGCAGCAAGTGGAGGTCCCACCGAGGTCTGAGGAAAGGAGGTAAGTTGAACTATATCATCAGATTAAAAGAGTCTTGGAGGAACAAGGAATGGCTGTCAAAAGCAAGACTATTGAACGGTTTGTTCGCACCATCTCTGAAGCTAGTCCTTGATTTTTTGACTGGGGGAGGCTTAAATTTACTTGATTGGGAACAGGTTAGGAGGAACTGCCAGAAAAAATTAGAAAAGGAGGGTAGTGAGCACTTTCCGATTGCTACGTTTTCCTTGTGGCATCTGGTTCGTGATGCATTGCTTTCGGATAAAGTGAAAGTAAGAACAGAACTTGAGGCAGCTCGGGAAGTCCTTGATGAGCTTCAAGAGGAAGAAACTAGATTGTCTTTAGCTTCGACTGAAGAGGAAGAAGCTCGAGCTCCCCTTAGTGCTTGCTTAAAACCTCTTCCCTCTTTAAAAGGGGAGGATTCAGACACAGAGACTGAGGGAGAATCTAGTGAGGATGAAGAACAAAAGTTATGTCAGGAAATTAAAGCATTAAAGAAAAAGTTAAAATCTCTTAAAACCACGGAAAGCTTGGTTCCATCAGCACCACCTATGTTTAATGAATGGCCAGTGTATTCTGAGATTGAAGGTGAAGAGAAATTAAGGGGCGGTTTCAAATTTTGCTGTAATCATTTAGTTGCCCCTGTGGTGGAAGTTCCTAATCCTCAACAGCAAGGTCAGGCACTTAGACAACATTACCCTCTCCATTTCAAAGATCTTAAAGCCTTAAAAGAGGCTATCTCCACTTATGGGGTACAAGCAGCTTTCACAATGACCATGGTAGAGTTCTACCAGACACAATACTTAACACCCGGTGATTGGCAGAAGTTGTGTAGAGCAGTATTGTCAGGAGGTGATTATCTATTATGGAGAGGAGAGTTCCAAGAGCAGGCTCTACAGGTGACCCACCTTAATGCTCAGGCCGGATTGGCTCAAAGAGATTTAGATATGCTAACGGGAGCAGGAGTCAGATTCATCCCGGAGTTATAGACTCAGACTATGAAGGAGAATTAAAAGTGATGATCTCTACAAAACATGGGGTTACAATCATTTCACAAGGAGAGAGGATTGCGCAACTAATACTAATTCCCCAATTTCTCATTAACAATAGATGCATGAGAAGATCTAGAGGAAATGGTGGGTTCGGCAGTACAGGACCAGGAGTGTTTTGGGTTTCTTCCATGTCAAATAGACCTACTTTAGAGTTGAATATAGAAGGGAAAAATTTTATTGGTATATTGGACACAGGAGCTGACGTGTCAGTAATGTCCCTTGATTCTTGGCCTGCATCCTGGGCCTTGGAGCAGGGAAGGGCACAACTCCAAGGTATTGGCTGTGCACTACCGAGCAAAAGCCTTAAAATTTTAAAATGGAAGGATGCCGAGGGCAATAAAGGATACTTTCAACCCTATGTTTTACAGGGACTCCCTGTAAACTTATGGGGCAGGGATTTATTAAATGAAATGGGAGTAGTTCTTACCACACAAAGTCAGGCTAAAAAGGAAAACAACCCAGAATATAAGATAATGAGAAATCTTGGTAGGAGTAAAAGTCGTGGACTTGGAATAAACAAAAAGGGGAGAGTTAACCCTGTATCTCCAGAGGAATAGATTGTTAGATATCCTGGAAATCAATGAGATTTGGGCCTTTTTTAATACAGGTCACTGTTCCTCCACCTGCAGCTATTCCCATCCAACGGAAATCTAATGATCCTGTTTGGGTTGAACAGTGGACCTTAACCAAAGAAAAATTGCAGGCAGCACATGCCCTAGTGGAGGAACAGCGGCTTGCTGGACATGTTGTTCCTTCCACCTCCCCATGGAACACACCTATATTTGTTATAAAAAAGAAGTCAGGAAAATGGAGATTATTACAAGACCTGAGAGCCATTAATGCCACTATGCAGCCAATGGGTCCATTACAGCAGGGCTTGCCCTCTCCGGTCGGAATTCCTAAAAATTGGCATCTCATAGTAATAGATCTAAAAGATTGCTTCTTTACTATTCCATTACATCCGAATGACCATTGTCGATTTGCCTTTAGCATTCCTTCTATTAATTTCATGGAACCTGCCTTAAGATTTCAATGGGTGGTCCTCCCCCAGGGCATGGCTAATAGTCCAACTATCTGCCAATCCTATGTTGCTGTAGCCCTGGACCCTGTTAGAAGAAAATTCCCTGATATGTATATTGTACATTATATGGATGATATTCTTCTTGCAGCAGAAACTCCTACTAAACTTTATGAGGGATTCAGACATCTACAGGTAGCTCTACAAAAGGCAGGATTGCATATAGCCCCTGATAAGGTTCAGACAATGCCACCTTATAATTATTTAGGACATGTAATTAACAGTTCTGGCATTAGGCCTCAAAAATTACAACTCAGTGTCTCCTCATTGCATACTCTCAATGATTGGCAAAAATTCTTGGGTGATGTGCAATGGATTAGACCTAGCCTTAAGATACTTTCTGGAACTTTAAAACCCCTCTATAATATGTTAATTGGTGATCCCGATCCTACCTCCCCCCAGGTTGTAACTAAGGAGGCACAACAGGCTTTGTTGCTATTACAAAAACACTT